TTATATATATAAAACATTATTCGATCAAGCAATAAACTCTATACAGAAACAAACATGAATCAAAAATGTCAACGACGGCACTCAATTTTCACACATATGATTCACACTTTGACTCATATTTAAAAAAAACTAATCTGAGAATTTCGGATATAAAAACAAATCTCTTGTGCTTTGTACACGAATTTTAAATTATTTTCGATATATATAAACAAATGTAATGAGCAATAAAACAATTCAGTTTATATCATGTGAATGTGAAAGTTTAGAATCGATTCATTGGTTGTCTTTGTTGTTGTTGTTGTGGCGGCTGTCTCCGTTGTGCATGGTACTCATTCCGAAAGCGTTTTGCTAGTAAAATACCTATAATAGTGCGCGCTGTCACCGGCAGCATTTTTGAAACGGCAAACTAGAACACAAATTAAATATGGTAATTAGATTGTAAGTGTGTGGGAATATGTTATCTTTCAAGATAAGGTAAGTAAATTCACTTCTGAAATAAAGCGATTCAAGTCCAAAACTTTAACTTGAAATCAAGCGTTCAGAAAGACATACATTTATGCGAGCGATTGAATGATGCTTGCATCATTTGATGCGCATCGATTGTGCTGTTGCCATACATTCGGATCTTCGGCAGCGCACGAAGTGCTCCGAACGCACAACGAAAGCACTAGCGATGCGCATCAAATGATGCAAGCATCATTCAATTGCTCGCATAAATGTATGTCTTTCTGAACGCTTGCTTGAAATCAAAAATAAGATTTTGTCGAATATAGTTATCAAATTGTATATCGAATGAAAAAAAAGCACCAACCTGAATGGCATGTGACCAATATCCAGTTGTTTCCGAACTTTTTCCTAATGTAAAAACGGCCGAACGTGTGTACGATTCAACATCGGGGACGAAAAGATTTCCGTTCATTACGGTTGTTGAATAATTATTCAATTTTGTTCGAACGAAGTACGGCGAAAGAAGTTGCACATCAACGCCATATGGTCCACATTCGTATTGGAGTGCCATTGTAAAACTTTTGATGTAAACCTGTTAAAATGCGCCCAGAATTAATGCACATCTATTCACATATCTATTTGTTTTAAGCGGGGAAAAAATTACACACTTTGCTAGCAGCATACACCGATGCCAGAGGTGCTGGTTGTAAAGCCGTGCCCGATGATACGTTTACAATGATACCTTTTTGTCGTTGTTTCATATCGTTTACAATCAAACGCGTCATCATTGTGGCGGCAGCAACATTTGTAAGCACCAGACTCCATATCACCTCCTCCGGCACACTGCCAAGCTCTTCAGGATGCTCGAACATCTGACCGACATTGTTTACTGCAAGACAATGCAAAAAGAAGATGAAGGACAGAGAGGGAGAGAGAGAGCGAGAGAGAATACAGGTTACTACACACAATGTCTAAGTAAGTAATGATAAAGATTAATTTATTTATGTGCAAAACGTCGTACAACTGTGCACCGGTCAAACAAGTTCAAACACCTTGACCATATCAGATAGTTCTTAATAATCGTGTTGTAAATAAAACGGTAAAATTTGTAGAAATAGTTTTATCGATTGCTAGTAGTTTCTCACAAAAAGCGATACAAATGATGTTGTTCCTAAAGTGAATGTTTACGCATGCAAAGAAATGTGAAAGAAATTCTCGGGAAAGAGATACTCACCTAAAATTCCAACTGGAAGTGAGTTCACTTCGTATTTAATTCGATTGTAAATCTCACGACCATTACTAAAATCGGCTACAGAATAAATATGAAAAATATTAACATTTCTATTTTCCATTCAAACTTAAACTTGACGCAACTCACCTACAATGTATTTCGTTTGTACCGGATGCAAAGACTCTAAACAACAATGAAAACAAGAAAAATAAAAATTACGAAATTTATCGCATATATGTAAAT